AACCCTGAACCGTAACCCTAAACCCTCTAAGCCACCCTTCCATGTGGATGCATGTGGAACCCAACCTGAAGCCCCCAAAACCGAAATTGAAGACTAAACATATACAAAATCCGTGCTTATGCGAATACACTCTAAAACTCTCAGAAGTGGCCCTTTTTAAAACCCTGNNACCCAAAACCCTACAGGAAGAGAAAGACCCAGGCGCTGGGCGAGGGCCGCGAAGCGCGGAGTGCAGCTTTCGGAAGCACGGCATGGAGATCTGAGCGGGGTTTAGGTTTTAGGGCCTTTTAGGGCTTAGGATCTATATTGCATCCTTGATTTAAGGGTTGGCTCTGTACTTGAAGGGCCTATAAGCACTACTACAAGGGTCCAGCATAGTTCATGGTTAGAGCTAGGATCGGGTGGTTCTGTTAAGATTCCCTTTTCCAGGATTCTTTAGAGTGCCTTAGAAGGACTACTGGCAAGGGTCCAGTATATCTACTACAGGGTATGGCTTTGGGGATGTGATATAGCAAAATGATTATCGGGAGCCCCCAGGAGTAGTATTGGTAGTCATTTCGACCCCTGTGCTGGACTCAGGGTTGAGGTTTAGACATCCTACAGGGGTTTCCGAAGAGAGGGGAGCCTAATATAGTACCCTANNNCCCAAAATAAGGTACCCCTAATATTCCGAACATGCCGTATCAAAATTATAGCATCCAGCGCAGTCTTCTCGGGTGGCTAGCTTCGAATGGTACGCAATCGGCATTTCGCTACCGCGGCGCTTGTCAAAAAGGCCATCGCCGGTCACCGGGAGCCTTGAAGAAAACCCAAGCCCTAACCCGATTCTTAAAACCGCGGATGCGATGACGATTCAGGGTTTAGGGGTTTCAATGTACACGCCAGGTACACGGTTCGAACCACTGGGCAGTGTCAGTCCCTCCTTCGTTCCATCGACGACCGCATGATCAACAAGTTCGGGTGCCGCACTTACATTCCAGAGCCTACGTAGATTTTGGGGCCTATAGGGCTTATAGGGTTATAAGGGCTGTAAGTAAGTCTCTTCCATACAGTTTTGTGGCCAGAATCCCAAACCCTAATGCTCCGAGGACTCGTGACAGAGGACCCAAATACCGCACCGTACAAGACGTTTGGGCTGAGCCTCATAATATGGAAATATCAAAATCTATGCCTATGTATGTTTTCTGTCCTGTAGCTTAAACTCGCCAGCTGAATCTACATGCGCCCCTTTCTAAGGGCTGCAAGTTCACAATCAACTGGCTGTCTGTTAACACTGTAGTTTAAGTTACCATAAAAAAAGGACACCCTACTTTTCACTAAAGATCCCGATTGTGATAGCTTACTTTACGTTCCTTGACAAGAACCCTGCTATGTGCTCGTCTCTGGGAGCTAGGCCTCTGACTCCCTTGCCTGGCAGGGTGTCCTGCGACGAGTTCTATCAATGATTCTAGGGTCCAGGCATGGGTTCGGGGTTTAGGGTTTGGGGTTTAGTTAAGAGTTCAGAGGGGATTTAGGGAGGTCCAGGACATCATTTTCTGAGGTAGACCCAACACAGCGCAGAGAGAGCCTACAGGCCCATTTAAGTCACGCAGGGCCTCTCACACGGAACTCTAAATGTTACGGTACTAAACCCTAGGTCATGACGTCCAAACAATATAGGAGCCTCACAACAGTTATAGAAGCACCTCCCGTCTGTAGTTAGAAACTTCAGTTCTGCGGAGAAGCGACAAGGTTTGTCAAGACGGAGCTGGAGACACAGCTGTCCGGAGTTACGATTCTGGCCCCCTTGCAGTACAGGCTGCCTCGCTTGGGAAAGCACTCAGGATGTTCAACCCTAAACCTTTGTCATAGTTGGG